GGGGCTGGAAGACATTATGTAGTTTTCAACGTTCTCTTGTTTAAATATTTTTATTTATTTTTGAGAGAGAGAGCGAGAGAGCGAGAGAACCTGAAGCAGGCTCTGCACTGACAGCAGAAAGCCTGATGTGGGGCTTGAACTCATGGGCCGAGTTACTGTCATGACCAGTATTATCACAGGCCGTCCCGTGGCAGGGATGTGGAAGCCGACATCGAAGGATGAGGCAGGTAAACGGGGGAGCGGGGGGGAGCCCGGCACACAGAACGTTCGGCATGATTTGTGAGGCCCCCGAACAAAAGGAAACCATGGGCTCCTCGTTCAAAAATGATGGAGGCGTCTGAGACCACAATGGTGGAGCCCGTGTTCGACAAAGCCCAGGGCCCTTTTCACGGCGGGCCCTGCTGGCTGGGGGACAGTTCTGGCCACGGCTGATTAATAGGACAAACAAGAAATCCGGCCTCTTTCATTTGCTGGTAGAAACCACAAAGGTCAAGGAAACCTGGAAGGAATGGGGACCGAGACTGTGCGCTTTTCCCCGTGAAATCTATGCCGGGTTGGAAGCTCTTAGGGGAGTGGAAGGTTCCTTTCATCTCTGGAACCAGAGCAGCTCTGTCTTGACCAGTTTGTTATAAACGCAGCCTGCTCCCTCCTTCTCCTCCTACTCCGCCTCCTCCTCCTCCCTGCGAGGGAACGCTCTGCCCCCCTCACCCCTGCAGGAGCCCGCAGTCCATTTTTGCTTGTGAGAAATGCCTTGGTTTCTAAAAGCCAAGCTCCCTCCTGGAAGAAAAAGTCCGCTCAAGACAGGGGCTGAATCCAGCAGAGTAGGAAAATTCTCCACCGCCAACCTCATCATCTTTACATCTCTATCTTCCACAGGACATGGCGTGACAGGCGGAAATGTCAGCCCCACTGCGTTTCTCTGGCGCCTGAGCGCCCCCGGCAGGCCGCAAGGCCGCGTGGGCCTGTGCTCATCAGACGTGATGGAAAGCCAAACCCGTCCTCCTGCTGGAGGGAGGCCTCCCGCCTCAGACAAACCAGGAAGGTCATGGGCAGGGGCAGCCTCCCTGTTGAAGCACATCCCTGGAAACACGTCACGGCCACCTGTCTCAGGCCACCCAGAGGCTTTTAAACACTCAGACAACATCTAGTCTCTGCAGGGAAAAATCACTAACTCACCCTGGGACCTCCCAGAAAATTCGATTGTCGCTTCTTAAGCGTCGTCTGGCGGCCAAGTGTGTAATGCTGGGTACGAAGCGAGCCCTTTTATAATGGTTCCCATGCTCTGGAATGGGAAACACTGAGTGTGGACGAAGAAGCAGGACTTCGGGCAGCCCAGCAAGGTCTGTCCTCTCCAGTAGCCCCTGAGGGCCCAGGCCTCTTCCCGGAAATCTGGCACCTTCTTTTCCTCTATGTCCCTCTTTCTTTCTTTTTTTTTATAAAAAAATTTTTTTAACGTTTATTTATTTTTGAGACAGAGAGAGACAGAGCATGAATGGGGGAGGGTCAGAGAAAGAGGGAGACACAGAATCCGAAACAGGCTCCAGCTCTGAGCCATCAGCACAGAGCCCGATGCGGGGCTCGAACCCATGGACCGCGAGATCATGACCTGAGCCGAAGTCGGCCGCTTAACCGACTGAGCCACCCAGGCACCCCCGTCCCTCTTTCTTTAGAGTCCTCACGGAAAGCCAGAGTAGGGCAGCAGGGACCGCTGGATGTCACAAGAGCCGCCGTGGGTAATGGTGAGGCTTTACAGGGAGGGTTGCTCTGCTCAGTCGAGGAACCCCGGTGTTTCTCCGCCTCCGGCTCCCCAAAAGCCCTAGCTCAAGTGCATTCGCGTGGAGTCCTCCCTGGGCCCGCCCTCACCGTGAGGAGAAACACCTCCAACCACTTCCCTCCATCTTTAGGAGAACGACATCCACTTCTCAGAATTCAGGGTGTGCCTCACCTCTCCGCACAGACTGTGATCTCTCCCAGGATACTACCTGATTCCCGACATACCTGTCCAGGGGAGGCTTTTCAATAAAGGCCAAGGAAACAGGTGGATAGAAGCCCCGTCCCCAGAGCTACCTCACCTTGGCCCAAGGGGGCCTCCAGATCACATTTCGGGACTTTCCTTTCTCTCTTGGTCCAATTTTGGACAATCAACTTGGCACGTCACACAATAATGAACTCCCATCCCTCGCCTATCACAGCTATAGACCTTTTCTGGCTACCTAGCATCCACAGAATTAAAAATCTTTCCCCTTTCTCAACCTGGTGATGGTCTCAGTCAGGGATGCTGGGCTTCGGCCATGACTTCTGGTTCTCTCAAACTCACAGCCATCGCTGACGCCTTAAAAGGAAACAAGGCCACATCCTTTGTGTTCCGAGATCAATTAAGCCGGAGCGTTTCAAAGGACACCAAGCTCTCCTCCGACACCAAGCAATGGGGTGTCCAGGTTCTCCTGCTTGTGGTCCGCCTTCCATGCCACACGAGCCACGAGGAGTAGAGGGGACCGTGAATCTGAAATACCCTGGCACCTCTCCAGCATTATCCCCACTGCACTCACCGCCGTTGATCTTGTTAGACAGATGCACAAGGCTAGACAGTGTCTCCCCCAAATGGCACGTCCTTCCTAGAACCTCAGAATATGGCGCTTGGGTGGCTCAGTCGATTAAGCATCTGGCTTCAGCTCAGGTCATGATCTCACCGTTTGTGAGTTCGAGCCCCTGAGTCGGGCTCTCTGCTGTCTGCACAGAGCCCGCTTCAGATCCTCTGTCTCCCTCTCTCTCTGTCCCCTCCCCACCTCAAAAATAAATAAGCTCTAAAAAAAAA